TCAGAATAATACATCTAGAATTTAAAGTAGCTACACTAGAGATATGGTTAAGGTAATTCAAAGTCTTCATTGTGTTCTTCCTGTTGTGCATAGCAGCAGGATGGGGACTCAATTGGAGATAAAGTATCTGAATTTCAGGAGCTGGACCACACCTCCAAACACGCTCCTCCCGGTTCTCATCTATATAGGTTCTCATCTATATAGGTTCTCATCTATATAGGTTCCCCCAGTTCTACAAGCCGTTCATTCTCATTTACGTGCCCCAGCCTCCCTCCCCTTTTCACTTCTTTAACTTCTTTACTTCTATGTGGGATCTGCCAGGCCCGGGAGCCGCTGCCTTCGAGGCCTTCCCCAAACCGCAACTAAATTCACATCCAAGCCATTCACCTTTATCTACTAAAACGCTGTCAAACCTAAAACGAGGATGTGGGCCCAGCGAGTGAAAAACAGGATAGAGGCAGAGTAAAAGTTAATACCGTTGTCACAATCTGAAAGCAGGGACTCAAGCGCAGAACAGGTTGACGTCTCAGAGCACCGTTTATTTACACACCAGTGCGATAATATATACAGTGACGGGGAAAAATCCAGGGTTCCAAGGGATTAGGGGAAGGTTCTCTCTCTCACGCTCGCTCACATCCTCACATCCAACTCACACACGTTCGTACAGCTGGGACGTCACAGGTCCGGGAAGGTAAACTGGAACAAGAAAGGGAAAAAATCACTCACAAGTCACGAAGGTAGGGCGTAAAAGTACAAGACCACGGGAGCTGGGAAGCGAGACTAACGTTAGTAGCACAATCATCCAGCGATGAGAAGATCTGTGGCCCAGCCTCAAATAGTAGTTGGGAAATCAGCTGATCGCCAACAGGTGTGTGAGCCAAGGGCGGGAGCCAGCAGTGAGCTCCGCCCAGGCAGAGAGGTAGGGGAGAGAGAAAGCAAAAACACAGTGTAGCCTTGTGAGGCCGGCTGGGCAGGCACAGGGACCATGACAACCGTAATCCAACTCTTGAATAGAATCTGATCTTGTACATTGGTGGGTGCTCACAATGCAAATCAGGTAACAAACACACAAAGGACAAAGGAGCGGTTTTGCAATATTACGAGGAAACAAAACGGTATAGAATCACAAGGAATGTATGAGGTATAATAACGACACTGAACAGTCTTTTACTAGTGTTCCCATCAGACAATGTGTATCAAATATTTGTGAATGATTC